GCACAAATTTGGGGCTTTTCCCCCTTATTTTGCTAAAATAGGATAAAGTAGTGGTGACTAATCCATGGCATGCATACCACAGCAAGCTGTTTATTATCACTGAAAGCCCTAAAAGGTTCACCATCACTGAATTAAGGGTTTATCTATTTTGTTTAGTCTTCTGAGGAACCACCTCTTCAATTTATTGATTCTTTCTACAGGTACTCCTCACTTAATAACCAAGTTCTGTGGTTAGATTGTTAAATGAATTGTTCACTAAATGAGGAATTGTATTATACTATGTATATTACAATATTTAGAACAAAGAAATGTTCAAAGGAAACTCCAACTTGATGACTGCATTTTTATTTGCATAATTCTTACATACAGTACTGTAATGTATAACAATGTAAAACTAGAGTATTATATAGTACACTCAACAAAAATTACAGTATTGAATAAACAAGTTTTACTATACCAGAAGAAAACATTGAGGCTCTATCAACAAGATGTGCAGAACTGAACCAAAAAAAAAAAAAAACAGATCATAAGTCCAGGTAGCAGTTCATAAATCCAAGTAGCAGCTCTTAAATCTGAATGACAATATGCCTCACCACAAGTCCAAATAGTCATTACACAAGGAATATTTATACTTTTTTTTAGTCTCAGTTTCATTAATTTTTGCTCTAATCTTTATAATTTCCTTCTTTATATTAGCTTTGGGTTTGGATTGTTTGTTGTTTTTTTAGGATCTTGAGGTACATTATTAGATTATTTATTTGAGCTTGCTTTATTTTCCTGATGCTGGAATTTGCCACTATAAACTTCCTTCTTAGGACTCTTTTCATTGTGTTCCATAGGTTCTAGTATGACATAATGGCATTCTCATTTGATTGTAGACTCTAATTCTTTAAATTTATTTATGATAAATTGATTATTCAGGAGGGTATTATTAATTTCCATGTGTTTGCATAGTTTCTGTAGTGTCTTTTTCCATTGATTTCTAGTTTCATTGTATCCAGTAGTATGCATGGGATAATTTCTATTCTTTTGCATTTATTTAAGCATGTTTTATGGCTAGCATGTGGCCTATTTTGGAGAAAGTCCCATATACTGCTGATAACAATGTGTATTCTGTCATTGGACAGAAAAATCTGTAGGTATTTACTAAATCAATTTTTTTTTAAAGATTTGTTTCAACTTTGGAGGGGTATTTTTGTTGGTTTTTGTGTAGTTCATCTATCCATTTGTGACAGTGGGGTATTATGGTCCCCCATTACAGTGATATTGGTGTTTATCTAATTCTTTGTGTGTATTAGTTTTATGAAGCTTTGTGAATTAATATTTGGTGCCTATATATTTATAATTGTTAATTCTTCCTGTAGAATTTTTCCCTTACCAATATGTAATGACCTGACTCTTTTGGTCAGTTTTGGCTTGAAATAAACTTTGTCTGAAACTAGTATAACAACTGTTGCTTTTTTTCCAAACTGCTGTTGCATAAAATATTGTTTTCCATCCTTTGATTTTTAACCTGTGAGTTTCTTTTTTAATCATGTTTCTTACGTACTTCATATTGTTTCTTGTTCCATTCTACCAATCTTTTGTTTGGGGAATTGACAGCATTGACATTAAAAATTATTACTGAAAGTTACCAACTTATTTCTTTGATTATTTTCCTGTCACTATTTCCTTATTTTTTTCCCTTTTGCTTAGCCATTCCGAACACCAGGTATATTCATTCTTTTTTACTTGTTGGCATTGTTGGCTTCCTTATCTCTTTCATTTTCCTGTATTTGGGAAATTTTCTGCCATTATTTTTTTCAACAGGTTTTTTATGCCATTTGTGTTGTCTTATGATTTTTCACTTATTCAGATTTTTCTTAAGTTAGTATTTGCATCATGTAGATGTTGTTGGATCCATTTTTCATGTTCTTTCTCTTTTTAGGTGTGTAACTGGCTTTGAAGGCATTACTATCTTCTAGTATTGAAAGTCTGTCCTCACATCAGTCACTTCTGCTGCCCATCATTTCAATATGATTGTAATCTCCTGAATTTTTGATTGAAACATTTTCATGGATCTAAAGCTTCAGTAAACTGGTAGTTCATGTTTTGTATTGTTTTATTTAGCTAATCTATCTTTTTAGTGTCTTCTGAAAGCTCCTATATCTTTTTGGCTATTACTTCCATTTTCTATTCAGTTAATTCCTCTGAGTACCTCTGAGCTATTTTCTAACCTCCTCTGTTAACTTCTCAAGTAATATGGATGTGTGGTTTATTCTGCTCCTTTGTGTCCCCTGGATTGGCTTCAGGGAAGTTGGGAATTTTGGGAGGCATTTTATTGCCTTGTTGTCTCCTGTGTGTATTATTTTTGTTTTGTGCTGAGGTTTGTGGACGCTTATAACCTAAAGACTTTGTTGGCTAGTGTAGAGAACTCCTTATTTACTTTTCAGTGGTGTAATTTGGGTGTAGCTAACTATAATTCTTTGCCACAGGCCCAAGGTCTGACTATCTTGGTTAATTTGGCAGAGGTGGATTTAGTGTAGTTAATTCAGAAACGAAGTTCTCTGGGTATTTCTTTTAATACTGTGATCATGGCTATATCCCATGGCTGTACCTCAACTAGTTACTTGGGGAGCACACCCCAGAGAGCCCTGAAATAAAGCTACCTACAGCTGCTCTGAGTCCTAGCTTCAGTTGAACCTTTCCCCAAAAGGGCATCTGACCACTCTGACCAGGGGATATGGCAGGTGCTTGGACTAGAGTCACTCACTGTCTGTTGTGACAGACAGTATCCACTGGTCTATTCCACTGCTGTGTTTTTCCATGAAGGCCTCTGGAGTCTCCTGTTTTCATTCTCTCTATAGATTCAATCTTCCTTTCTCCAGAGCCACAAGCTATGAGTCAGAAAAAAAGCTTGAATTCCTCCTTTTTTTCTATGTTGTGTTTTGTCTTTTCAATAACATTGTAGGCTCCATTTTTCCTCTCAGATTCTTAAGATATCCCAGGGAACCACTTCCCTCCTTTTTTTCTTCCCCAAGTTGTTTTCCAATATCTGGGTTGTGAATCTTGGAGAAGCTAAGTAGTTGTTTACCACTCCATCATTTTTTCAGAAGTTGTTACCTGCTTCTTATCTTGCTTCTCTACATTTTTTACCATAACAGCCAAAATCCATCAGTTTAAAATGTCAAATTGATCTCGTCATTCCTCTGTTCATTAGCTATCAGTTTACCAACTCACTCAAAGCTAATTTCAGTATAATGGTAAAGAGTCTGCATGATATAGACTCTTGCCTTTCCTTTCTTTATTTATCTCCCATATTCTCCTTGCTTTCTCTGCTCCATCCACTTTATAGCTCTTGGTCACTCTACTAGTAAATTACATGTACTCATGCAGTGACCCATGTGGCCCTTGAGGTTCCGTAGTTGAAGGACTGTGAGAGGATGAGAAAATAAAGAAGAGGCAAAGCTGGGGTCAGGTGGACCCTTACTCACCTGATGGGAAGAAAAGAAACTCCCCTCATAGCAGGGACATTTATTTATACATTTTAGCAACTTAATGTCACATGATACCCTTTGTCCTAGTAACTCACAGTTTGGATTGTGGTAGGACTAGGTATTGTCTGAGCTGAAGCAGCTTCTTTGCGTGGCTTGCCCTGGGCACTCTTTGTTCTTGGGACTGCCATGCCCCAGCCTTGCACATGTGGTGTGCACGGCTTCAGCGGCTCCCAACATGCTGCTGCCCAAGACCTTTGCAGTTATGGTTACTCTGCCTAAGATGACTTACCTTATAATAGATAGCTCCTTGGCCTGCTTTATCTCTTCTTTTAGATGTCTGTCCCTGTCAGTGATGTCTTCCTTGACTTCCCTTAATAAAACCGCCCTTTTCATCCTTTCTAAACTCTGCCTTGTTCTGTTTTTCTCCATAACATACAACCAACCATCTGATAAGTTAAATGTTTGCATACATGTTGTGGGTTTTTTTTACAACAATGTTGTCACCTCTATAGGACTTTATTTTATCCACTGCTATATCTTAGCACTTAACATGTGATGTGTATTTGTTGATTGAAGCTGGTTGTGGTAATGCATGCCAACTATTTGGGAAGCTGAGACAAGAGGACTGCAAATCCAGCTTGGACAACTTAGACTGTCTCAAAATAAAATAATAAAGAAAACTAGTATACATTAGGGTAGCAAACCCATGGGTTTGATTGGCTATGCCAGTAAACAAAAATTGTTGATTGGATACATTGATGGAACCTTTTGGAAAGCAACTATATGTTTTTTGTTTTGTTTTCTTTTTTTTGGTACCAGGGATCAAACTCACAACTTCGTGCTTGCCAGGCAGGGGTTTATGCTGCTGAACTAAATCCCCAGCCCACAACTACATGTTTTAAAAGTTTTTTTTTTAAGTAAGAGAATGGTTAAGTAAATTATATCTATTTAATGAACAGACATCTGTATGAGACAGACTGGAAGATATGATCAAGAACAGCAATACAGTTTTTCTCTAAATATGAAACAATTTGAGAGAATAATTTCCATGTGTAGAGGAAGTTTTAATATCATGAACAGGCACTGCGTGTTAGCAGTCTTTGAGACTGTTAGATTGATGGAAGCAATGGCTGATAACAGAAAACACAGATATACATTTTTAATGAAAAATTCAGATATAGGTGGATAGGAACAAATATTATAGGACTTGAAAGTGAATCAGACTGTGAATTCCTGAGCTATAAATGATAACTCAGTCTAAATTTAAATTTGTTAGAGTCATATATGGGGGCAGGAAGAGTAGGATAAAAAATTCCAACTAGAATGAAAATGCAACAAAGGCAGAGTTCAAATAATACTACTCCTAGTAAAGCGTGTAGACTGACAAAGGCCTCTGTTGAGTATCAGCGATTAGTAGTAAGAAGTAGTGCTTAGTAATTAACTGCATATTGGATGTAAAGAAAGAAGCCAGAAAAGTTCTTATATTATATATTTCCTTTAAATTGTTTTCTTCTTTTATTACAGGTTTGTCATTCATAGAAAAATGGATCATTTAAATCTCTGGAGGACTCAGTTATCATAATACATCTATAGTACCAACTGAGATTTATGACAAAGTTCTGCATTGAAGAACTAAAAGGATATTCTTTCATAAAAAATAATCTAGTTGTATCATATTACTAAATTAAAATGAACAATTATTAAATTATTAGACTTGATAATACAAGCACACATGTGCAGCAGCTACTGTATACTGATAGCTAATCAAACCTCAAATTTAAATGGTTTCCTATTGTGGGAAGCCATATTTGTACCCACAGAATACTGTCACCAAATGTATTTTCAGTTAAGTGTCACTTAGGTGACTTTTCTTAAAACAATTTCTAGACAGTTCCAAGTCCCACCACAGTGGATTTGATGAAATGGCAGCAACTTACAGACTTGTGGTTAGTACCGTGAACCACTACAGCAGTGTGGTGATAGATCGACGTTTTGAGCAAGCTATACATTATTGCACTGGAACCTGCCATACCTTCACACATGGAATTGACTGCATTGTAGTACATCATAGTGTTTGTGCAGACCTCTTACAGATCCCTGTGTCTCAGTTCAAAGATGCAGATCTGAATTCTGTGTTTCTACCCCACGAAAATGGATTATCCACAGCAGATGACGACTATACCCATCACGTCCTCACAGGCATGCACAGAGTCAAGAGAACGTCTGCGTTTCAGAACAGCTGCAATTTAAAGGACATTGCAGGAGAAGCTATCAGTTTTGCCAGTGGGAAAATAAAGGAATTTTCGTTGGAGAAAGTAAAAAACTCTAACCATGTGGCTTACAAAAAGGGAAGGAAAGTTAAGTCTGACTCATTTAATAGGAGGTCTGTTGACTTTGACTTGCTCTGTGGCCATTATAACAATGATGAGACCTCTTCATCCTTTGGTTTACTCAGGAGTTCTTCTGTTGAGGAAAAATCTTTGTCTCATAGAAACTCACTTGAGACAAACCTAACTTCGATGCTTCTTCAGAACTTCTCTGAAGAAGACCTGGTTACTCAGATTTTGGAAAAACATAAGATAGATAATTTTTCTTCTGGCACAGACATAAAAATGTGTTTAGACATCTTACTGAAATGCTCTGAGGATTTGAAAAAATGCACAGATATCATAAAACAGTGCATAAAGAAAAAATCAGGAAGTAGCATCAATGAAGGAAGTGGTAATGATACACTTTATAGTTCTGAAACTGTCTATATGAATGTAATGACCAGGTTAGCATCCTACCTGAAAAAGTTACCATTTGAATTTATGCAGCCTGGAAATAATGAGCCCATAGATTTAACAGAGCTCATCAGTAATATGCCTAGCTTACAGCTGACTCCCTTCTCACCAATATATGGCACTGAACAGCCCCCTAAGTATGAAGATGTTGTCCAGCTCTCAGCCCCTGGCTCTGGACAGTTTCAAACTATTGAATTCCAAGATGACAAGCATAGTTCTAGGAAAATGAACATTGTAAAACCCATCCCAAACAACACTACGAATTCTTTATATAATTTGGAGGTAGATGATTCCAGAACTTTAAAAGCTGTCCAGCTTCAATCACCATCATTAACCATGAGCCCTGTGGAGAATGTTTCTTCTGGAGACTTAATAGAGACTCTGTATATTGAAGAAGAGTCAGATGGAAAGAAGGCATTATTAAAAAAAGGACAAATGACAGAGAATGGGCCCTGTCATCAGCTGCTAAAGGTAAATGAACATAGAGCAGAATTTTCAGACCATGGCACTCATCTTAAAAATTCTTCTGCCTTAATACAAAATGAAATTGGTAAAATGTTTGATAAATCAGTTGTCCATCTGCCTGAAGAAGACCCTAAATCTAAAGTTCCTAAAATGGAAACAGGAGACCAGAGAAATTTTATTAACTCCAACAGTCAGGAAGAGATAGATAAATTATTAATGGATTTGGAATCATTTTCGCAGAAGATGGAGACCTCTCTAAGGGAGCCACTTACCAAGAGTAAAACCTCCAGTTCTCTAAATAGTCACAGTAATTTGACTGACCAGCTCCCTGTAGACACTGAATCTAAATCTAAAGTCTCTTCACCTGTGGATAAAGTCTCACCTTCCTGTCTATCAAGGATTATTGAAACTAATGGACACAAAATAGAGGAAGAGGATCGAGCCCTCTTACTACGAATTCTGGAAAGTATTGAAGACTTTGCTCAAGAACTAGTCGACTGCAAATCAGGCAGAGGTAGCCTATCCCAGGAAAAAGAAATGATGCAAATTCTACAAGAAACATTGACAACTTCCTCTAAGACAAATTTATCAGTCTGTAAGGGTCCTGTTGGTGATAAACCCAAAGACACTACTTCAATGGTTTTGATTCAGCAGACCCCAGAAGTGATCAAGGTAAGACCCAATAATCTTACATCTTGAGCAGTCTCTAAAGAAATGTTTTAATGTTTGCAAAATTTATCAACAAAATCTATTTTTGTTAGCCACTTTATGTTCTACACTAGGAATGATCTCAGTCAGAAGAAAAGGCTTTACAATCAAACAGACTTCCCTCTTCACACCTTTATAGCTTTAATATCTTCAACCATATAGTGGAAATAGTAAGGATCTAGATAGAGTATGTAAAGTACAAGTACTGAAGAACACTGCTACGTAAAATAGGGATTTAATATTAGTTCTTATCCTTCCCAGTCAACCGAGGATCCAGTCTTTACTGCATGCCTGTGTAGACTTCTCTAAAGTAAAGAAAGATACAAGAGAAGAAAGGACATGATTTTTCCCCAGTGCTGTGCATTAAACTCAGAGCCTTGCACAAGCTAAGGAAGTACTGTACTACTGAGCTACATCCTCACCTTTTTTTATTTTTTACTTTGAGGTAAAGTCTTATTAAGTTGCCCAAATTGGCTCAAACTGGAATTTATGATCTTCCTGCTTCAGCCTCCCAACTAACTGGGATTACCGGAATGGTCCACCTCAGTCAACAAGGACATGATTCTTAAGGAATTTAAAGTTCTATTGGTGAGAGACAAAACATTCCAGAAAAGGAGGATGTGAGCATATATCTGAAAGTATAGTTAGTTAGTTCAATATATTTTCAAAAAAGGTAGTTACTAGAGCATGTGAAGTTGGCAAGTGAGAGTAAGTATCATTCTAGAATCCTAAAAGTATTTTCAGAAGGCTTGAATGTATCCACCTGGTGGTAGCATTCTTTTTAAATACTTGCAGAAAGGCAGTTATCTGCCCATGTGAATATACATACGTGTGTCTTTGCACAAGATTATTCCTTGCTCATTTCACAAGTTATGAACTATCAAGGTACTCTTTGGCACCTCATTCAAGGACCCAGGCTGATGGAGGATCCATGTTTTTACTGTTGCCTCATTGACTCATCTGGCTTTATCAGTTCACAGAAGAAGGGAAAGAAAGGAATGATGCTTTTAACTGCTTTGTCGTAGGCTAACACACTTATCTTATACTCATAGTCCAGTGTTCCCGTCTGAAAAGCTGGGAAACATACAAAGGCATTTGGACTATTTGGGAAACATGATCTCTGTCACGTAAATTTCATGTGTCATCTTGCATGAATTCACAGACATAGAAACAAGCTATAAAATAATGCTTTGAATTTTTAAGATAAGTGAATTTTTTTGGTTTGGTTTTGATTTGGTTTGTTTTGTTGGTACTGGGGATCAAACTTATGACTTCACACTTGCCAGTCAGCTGTTTACACCACTAAGCTAAACCCCCAGCCCAAAATAAGTAAATTTATACAAAAGTATGAAGAAATATGTGGATGCAGCAAATAGAGTGTTTAGAAAAGCAGTTAACCCTGGGGAAAGGAGATGCAACCAAGGAAGGGTGAGTTCCTTGAGAGGACTCAGTATAAGCAGTGGTCTCTTTGATCATCAGTATTTTGTCATGTTAATTATGCATTTTTATATATTCCTAAATATTACATAGTACTCTCATTTTACAACTAAAATACTATGAATAACATTTATGTGGCCATGTTAAAAATCAAGTGATACATTGTTTTACTCTTATTAAAACTTTCATTTGAATGTTGGGCATGGCAGTTTATGCCTATAATCCCAGCACTTGGGAAGTTGAGGCAGGAGAATCACCTCAGGTTCAAGGCCAGCTTGGGCTGCATAGTGAGTTCAAGACCAGCCTGAACTGCATGGCGAGACCCTGTTCAGAAAAACAAACAAAAAACAAAAAAACTAATTCATTTGAGCAGGGGAAAGAAGCTGAGTTGTGATAAGATGAATAGTTTTACTTTGTGTATACTTTGTGGTTGCTATTCTGTGCACATCTGTGGTTCCTAGAGACTATTAAAGTTTAAACCATGTATCTTTACAGTTGTAAAATGATTTAAGTATAAGAATCTTTAGGTGTTCACAGCACCCTTCTGTGTAAGTCTCACATTTGATTCACAAATGTTAATACCGTTAGTTAATGTCTTGGTTACTGTTCTCTAGTTGCTGGGACAGGACATCCCACACCCAAAATGAAGGAAGGAAAGTTTTATTTAGCTCACTGTTGTAGAGATTTCAGTCCATAATCAGCTAGCTGCAAGGCAGGCTAGCGCATAGCAGAGGGACGATATTTCAAGGTAGCAACCAGAGCAAAAAAGGGTGAAAACAAGCCTCTTCTCCTCCCTTGTATTGTACACAGGCCACCCCACCCCTGATTCAGGGCCTCTTTAGCACTCACAAAATCTCCTTGCCCTCCTTTGCACAGGATGAGCATATTTACGAAAAAGGAACCCTGACTCCCTGCTGAGTCTCTCAGTTAAACTTCTAAACTTCTCATGTTAGTACAACTTATCAACCATAACAGTTAGCTTGGGTCATCACTGGGAAAGAAACTGGGAATCAATTTCAAAAATAAATACTTTCATATTCACAGAAAATATTAATGTTCTTAAAATCTTATAAAGAAAACAAAAACCTATATAGCAGTATCCCAAGTGGTAATATTTTAAGAGCTACCAGTTATGAGCTAAAGCACATTAAGCAGTTAGCATTTAGATGTATTAACTGTTTGCCCCATGACAGCCTAGTAAAAGAAAATTACGACCTTCCCTGATGACCTGTATAACATCTCACAATCATTATAGCCAGAAACACTTACTATGATACAGCGTTTTGTGTTTTGTTTTGTTGTTTTTCAGCCCTCAGTTATCTCCTGTGAAAAAAAAGATTTCCCCAGTCTCAAAAGCACTGACAGGCCCTCAGTGATATCCCTAAGTAGAGCTGCTAATAATCCCCTACTAAGCTTTAAATGAAGTTCCCAGGTTTTTTACAGGTATTGACTGAAATAAAAATCTACTTCTGAAATGCTACTTCTGAAAAAAATACTATTTTCTACTCTTCTTATGAACAGGTTTTACTATCATAGAATAGAATAAAACTTGGTAAGATTTCTTGATTAATAAAATTTGAAAGATTATTGATGAAAAACATTTAAAGAGATAAGATATATTCTTCACAATGATACTTAATGCAAAAAGACAAACTGTTCCTTAATTTAGGTGCCTCCCATTCTTCTTTTAATTTTTTTTTATTTTGAAAAGAATAAGACCAAACCAAACAAAACAGAATAGAGCTAATTAAAACAAAACCATGAACATGACACAGGACTTCAAAACAAGACAGTAGGAAATCAACAATGGCTACCATAATGCCTCTTATTATCTTCAAAGTAGCAGCTTATCCCATCAGACATAATAAAATCAATCAAAACAAAACAATGAAAGCAATATAGGGCTTCAAACTAGATAATAGGAAATCAACAATGGCTACCATAATATATTTTGTTGTCTTTGAAATAACTGCCCATACTATCTGAGATGATAAAATCAAAACAATATAATAGAACAAAACAGAACAATGAAAACAATGCATGGCTTCAGAACAAGATAATAGGAAATAGGTAATCCCATTTTCCCTTTTCAGATGCCTCCCCCACTTTCAATTTCACAACATCTATTTGTGCATTTTGGATCCCACTAATTCCTTCAGTCTTAGGGAAACAACACAATGTTCACTCATGTGACTGAACCATTTTACCCATGATCATGATTCTCAAGTTGCATCCATTTACCTGCAAGAGCCTTGAAGTTATCTTTATTTATAACTGAGTAGATTTACATTGTATACAAATGCATTTGTTTCTTATCCATGCTGCAGTTGATGGGCAAGCTACCCCTGCCTTTTCCTTATACCCTGTCACATGGAGCATTGTTTTCTTCTCCTTTGACTTTTAATCTATGAATTTCCTTTTGAGTTAACTATGTTTTTTGTATAAAGGATATTGATGGATCCTATCTCCCAATCACTCTGCCTGTGTTTCTTTCTATTGGTGAATTGAAGCCATCTACATTCATGGTTGTGGTCAACATGCACTGGCTCATCTCTGCCATGCTATTTTCCTGCTGTTGGCTGCCTACTTTTCCCCTCCATTCAACTACTTGCCCTGCTTAGTGATTCTCCTCTATCGCTGTTCCTAGAACTGCAGTCATTTGTATCTCTCTCTAGAATATCCTTTGGTATTCTTAGGGTTGGTTTGGCGGTCATGAATTTCTTCAGTTGTTCTTTGTCATGAAAGTGTGTTGTTTCTCCATTAATTTTTTTTTTTTTACCAGTACCAGGGATCGAACTCACGACTGAGCGCTTGCAAGGCAGGTGCTTATGCTGCTGAGCTAAATCCCCTGCCCCTTCTCCATTAATTTTGAAAGATAGTTTTGCAGGGTATATCAATCTGATCTGGAAATTGTTTTTTTTTTTTTCCAGGACTTGAAATACTCTACTTGAAGCTATTCTTGACTTGATATTTCATGTTGAGAAGTCTATCGTGATTCTGATGAGTTTTCTTTTATAGGTGAACAGCCTTTAATAGTCTATTCTTGTGTTGAATTTCTAGGATCTTGATTATATTAGATGTGTAGGTACAGATTTATTTTGATTAGGCTAGCTGGAGTTCTCTATGCCTCACTTATCTGCATGTCAGGTCTTTTCCCCATGCTTAGGAAGTTTTCTGCTATACTTCTGAAACTCGCTTTATTATTTCATTTGTGCTAATGCCTGCATTTTTACTAACACCTATCACTCCTAAATTATTTTTCTTTATATCATCTTACAGCTACTGAATTGTTATTTCCTGGTTCCATGTTATTTGTAACAGATCTATTCTTTTGCAGTTGCTAGCTGCTAACCTGCCCTCGAGGTCTGAAAGTTTCTTTAAGTGATTTTGCCAGGTTTTGATGGAATTTTTAAATTCCTGGACATCACTTTAAATCTGTTTCATGCATCCTATATCTCTTATATTGTTCATTCAAGATTTCCCTCATTTTCCTATGCTCTATTTTTTATCCATGCCTTCTTTAGATA